ACTGTGGGGCGTGTTTCTAACGTGCCGACTGTGGGGCGTGCTTTCTAACGTGCCAACTGTGGGGCGTGCTTTCTAATGTGCTGGAAAGGCCAAGGTGATTCTTTGAAAATATAAATGATACGAAATCACTTCCCAGCTCAAAATCCTGCAGTCTTCCAGTTTCACTTAGAACGAAATCTCACTCTTCCCCTCAGCCTCCTGGAACGCCCCTGTGGCCTCTGCCCACCTGGTTGACTTCTTAAACATTTCACTGAAATACCCACACACACAGAAAGAGTGGGTGCGTCGTGCCTAAGTGTACAGCGCAGGGGCTTTTCCCAGGCGGGACGTTCCCAGGATGTAACTAGCATCCTTCCTCTCACCCACCTCCTCACCCCAGGGTAACCACTCACATGAAGTATTCCTGGGGCTTTCACATGACGCCTCCACAGACAGGGCCCTGCAGAACTCCCCAGTGGATGGTATTCGCCCTCTCTCCATGCCTGGCACTTTCCTAAGATCCCATTCTTTACCTACATGGCACTCACTCAGCTGAGATTACATGTATATTTGTTTGTCAGCCGCTCTGCTGTCTGTTTTCCCCTCTAGACTGTAGGCACCAGAGCTCTCCCGAGGACAGGGCCCGTCCTTCCCCTGCAGCACTACCATCGAGCAGAGTGCTGCGCACACTCGGAGCCATCAGTAAACACTGAGTGAGTGCGTGAGTGGAGTGTACAAGGTTATCTGTGCACAGTGTTCAGTAACAAACATGAAATATATCCATTTCTTGTTCCTTTCTTTTCCTCAGGGGACAGTCAAACAACTCCTCCTTTTCTCGGAGACTGAGGGGAACCCATGCTTCTTGGACGTCTGTGGGAATTTCCTGGTTGTAGGGACAGACTTGGCTCACTTTAAAAGCTTTGATCTTTCCCGAAGGTAAATTTTTTTTTCAAATAGAAGTGGGAACATGTTTTTAATCAGTCAGGAGACAGTGTGATAGGTAGAAAGTGAGTTAGGAGCCAAAAGACTCCGTAGGTGCCCATTTCAACACCGACATGCCACTCATGCTCTGGAATGCCTCATGTTGGGGCTCACTTCCTAGCCTTTGCCTAGTGGTGGAGCCGTGTGGGGGAGGGGAGGCTTGAATAGTTGAAGCACGGGGAGTGGTGGGGGTGGGGAAGCTTCTATATGATGAGTGCATGACATTGTACATCTGTTGGAAATCATAGCACTTTATGGTGCAAAGTGTGAACCTTAATGTATGCAAATGTTTAAAAAATCATTCAGGCTGGGCAGGGTGGCTCACACCTGTATTCCCAGCACTTTGGGAGGCCAAGGCGAGAAGATTGCTTGAGCCCAGGAATTTGAGACCAACCTGGGCAACATAGTGAAACTCTGTCTCTACAAAAACTTTTAAAAATTAGGTGGGCATGGGGGCATGTACCTGTAGTCCCACCTACTTGGGAGACTGAGGTGGGAGGATTGCTTGAGCCGTGGAGATTGAGGCTGCTATGAGCCCTGGTTGTGCCACTGCACTCCAGCCTGGGCCACAGAGAGACCCTGTCTCAAAAAAAAATCACTTAAAATGTTAGAGGACCCCAGGATGGAACACAGAAGGTAACAAAACAGTCTGACTGTGTTAACAAATGTATGAAACAGCTTCACTAAAGGGTATGGGGGAAAAGTGCTGACCTGAGTGACTCTGGGAGTGAGGGAGGCCCTGGCCAGCACTTAGGCCAAAGGAACTGCACAGGAGCTCAGCTCTCTAGTTAAGAATCCTGTTCCCCACAGGGGTTGGGATGAGCAATGCTGATCCTGTAAAGCGTGTGCACTGGAATTGGACAGTTGAACAAATGGAGGGTAGATGGCAGGAGCCTGGCATCGCACAGCGGGAGTGGGAGTTACAGATTAGCAAGGGGAGGGACCAGAATAAGCCCTGGGAGAGTAGCTCAGAGGTAGAGGTGTCAGCATGAACAAATGCCTGGCTTCACGTAGGTAGGGATGACTCCATACACAGAATCGCAGGTCTGTGTCGATGCACCCGTTGGTACACACATATTTCCTCGCGCTGTCAGCTGAGAGGGCCTAGAAGCAACAACCCTGTCCCAGAAGCCATACCTGGTGCCCAGACCTTGGTTTCTACCACCATCCTCCAATAAAGGAGCTATGGAACCTTGGAGAGATGCTGACTCTAGGACCAGGGCAGGAAATGTACGAAGGAGCTGGCAGCATCTGTGCTGCCCGAAAGTGAGGAAGTGCTAAAAACAAAGCAAACCAAAAAGCTTCATAAAGATGGCAGGGTAGGGGGTCACAGAGACACAGAACCCACCAAAAGAGGTCCTAATAGCCAAAGCTGGAATAATTGGAGCAACAAAATAAATAAAGCAGGTCAGATGCAGTGGCTCATGCGTGTAGTCCCAGCATTTCATTTATTTATTTATTTATTTTTTCTGGGTGGCCCATTTCATCCTGCAAGTCCCAGCACATTGGGTGGCTGAGAGAGGTGGGTTGCTTAGGCCCAGGAGTTCAAGACCAGCCTGGCCAGCATGGTGAAACCCAATTTCTAAAAAAAGAAAAAAAATTAACCAGGCATGGTGGCTTACATCTGTAGTACCAGTTACTTGAGTGGCTGAGGCAGGAGGATCACTTGAGCCCAGGAGGTCAAGGCTGCAGTGAGCCAAGATCACACCACTGCACTACAGCCTGGGCAACAGAGTGAGACCCTGTCTCAGAGAGAGAGAGAGAGAGAGAGAGAGAGAGAGAAGGAAGGGGAGGGACGCAGAGGGGAGGGAAAAAGGAAGAAAGGAGAGAAGGAAGGAAAGGAAAGGAAGGGAGGGGGGAGGGAAGGGGAGGGGAGGAAAGAGGAAGGGACGGGGGAGGGAAGGGGAGGGGAGGAGGGAGGAAGGAGGGAAGGGGAGGGGAGGAGGGAGGAAGGAAGGAAGGAGGGAGGGAGGAAGGAAGGAAGGAAGGAAGAAAAAAAGCATTGAATTATATCCCAAAGTAAAAAAATAAATATATGTGAGTCCGAATGATATGAGTAAGTCAATAAACAGGGGAGAAGAGACAGATCTCCCATAGAAAAGAATTCCACATGATTTCTGTGGCCCCTCCACCCTCATGAGTGGGACAAGCCAGGACTCCCCACTCCTCAAGGGTGGCCGGTGCTTCGTGAGTCCCATGCAGAGAGCACAGTATAGGAACGGGCTGTCTCCACAGTGGAGAGGACACGGGACAGGATGGGAAGGACTCCACAGTGGAGAAACTGACAGACTCCCCTGCCAGGTGACCAGGTCAACATCAACAGTGGTAGACAGCATCTACCCCTGACATGACCTGATGCAAGGGGCACCTCACCTCTGTGTCATCCTCCCAAGCACCCAGAGCCGCAGTCTAGTGAGAGGAGCACCAGGCAGATCCCAGTGGAGGGTGGCCTGCAGTGACCCTGACCAGCACTCCTCAGACACAAGGGAATCTGAGAAACTTACGACTGAGAGACACCTATGTGGCCACGGCCACTGAGTGTCACATGGAATCTGGGATGGGATCCTGGGACAGGAAGGAGACATTAGGGAAGAACTGAGGACATGTAAATAAAATTTTTAAAAATAACAATGAACTACCACTATATACTTTATATTGATTATGTCAGCAACAAACTAGAAACAACTTAATGTCATTTGCAGGGGACGAGTTAACTAGCTCAGTGTGTCCCTATGATGGGAAACTGTGCAGCTGTCACAGAGGGTAATGAAGCAGTCTCCATGTGCTATGAAAAATCGCCAAAACAGAGCATAAGGCACAAACTCCAGGTATAGAACAGTTTACAGCAGCGTTGTTTTGTTTTTTGTTTTTTGTTTTTTGTTTTTGAGATGGAGTCTCACTCTGTCGCCCGGGCTGGAGTACAGTGGCATGATCTCGGTTCACTGCAACCTCCGCCTCCTGGGTTCAATCCTCAAGTAATCCGCCTCCCTCAGCCTCCCAAAGTGCTGAGGTTATAGGCATGAGCCACCACGCCCAGCCTAGAACAGCATTTTTAATAAGCTACTTGAACAAGAGGAAGGGGATGAAGCACTCATATTCATATTTGTTCGTAAGAGTACCTGAGGTGGAAGAACTCACCCTGTGTTTTGCGTTTGCTCCACCTCATGGTGCACACGTACCACCCAGGGTGAGAAGCAGCCGAGGAGCTGTGCAGCAGTCAGCCCGTGACCTGAGGTTTCAGGGCGGGCGGAGAATGGGAAACTGGGCCTCTGGCTGGCACTGAGGTCCCTCTTCCTCCCTGCAGAGAGGCCAAAGCACACTGCAGCTGCAGGAGCCTGGCGGAGCTGGTCCCCGGGGCGGGGGGCATCGCTTCTCTGCGGTGCAGCAGCAGCGGGAGCACCATCAGTATCCTCCCGAGCAAGGTGAGGCTGCCCCTCGTCCACTCGCCCACGCCGCCTCCTCACTGCTATCCTCCCAGGCCGGGCCTCCTGCCTGCTCGTGCCTCTCTCCTCCTGTGTGGATCTTCCTGTCCCATGTTCTGTTCAGCCCCACCCTCCTTCCCTCCTCTCCCCGTGTCTCTCCCTCCCACCTTCTCTGGGGACCTCCCCAGCATGGTCCTCACCCAGCCTCTGTCCCTCCCCCACCTGCCACCTTCTGTCCGCTGCCTTTCTCCAAGTCTCCCTTCGTCGGAACAGTCGTTTCCTCATTGGAGAGTTGCTTGCTTCCTCTTCATCCCTGCCTTCATCCCACTCAGTTCTCTTTGTCATGAGAGGAAGGACAGGACTGTTAGAGAGTTCTCAGGCGCACTGCTCAGAGAGGCATGGTGATGTTGGTGTGTGAGGGGCTGGTGGCAGCCACGTGGAAGGGTCTGGCAGGGGTGGCAGGGCATGGCAAGCTGTTTGGAGCCAGTTGGTTCCTTCCCTGGTTCCTTCCCTTCTGCTGGTGCCAGTTCCCTTGTTCATTTGCTCGTTCAAGGGCCGTAACTGGTCTCCTGCTGTGGGCCAGACGCTTTGCTGGGCACCATGGACACAGAGGTGCTCAGGTATGCACAAGGACCCCACCCACCACCTGTGGATGAGCAGGGCAGGAGGCATGTGTGCTTGGAGGGTGTGGAACTGCACAGCATTGCGCTGCCATGGAGCTCGGGCCAGGCCTGCTGAGGGGGTGATGGCCCAGCCAAGGTTGAGGCAAGAGTGAGCAGGTGAGGACAGGTGGGGACAGCATAGGGCAGACGGCAGAGGCCTGCGTTGGCGAAGCCTGTCCTCATCGAGGGTCTGCAGTCGTGGTGGAGGGCAGGGCCAAGGCTGATGCAGGTGGGAGCTGACTTTGACCTCAGGGCAGAAGGATGAGGATAACATCAATATCATATTTCTAGAGGGTTGTTCCTAGAAGATGGATCAAGGGGTTGGTGGGTGCAGATGCCTATTTGGTCCCTGTGGCAGCCACTGGAGGGCTCGAGCAGCCATAGTGGGGCTTGGCGATGGGCTGGCCGAGGGGTAGGGCAGGACAGGACTGCAGAGGTATTTCTAACCCTTGCAGCCAGGTAGGAAAGGAAACGTTTGCCGCGAAGGTGGATGAGCAGAAGGGCAGGTGCCTGGGAGGCAGCTAGTGGGCAGTCCCACACCTGGTCAGAAGGGAGGGCCAGGGCTGCAGGTGGAGCACAGGGACAGGCGAGAGGATGTCCCCAAGGAGGAAAAACGGTGGCCACTGTGGCCCTGAGAACCCAGATGGGGCCTGGGAAGCCAGGTGAGCAGGTGCCGCCAGGGAGGTGGGGCCACTGGGAGAAGGAGGCAGCCAGGAACCTCAAAAAGGTCGAGGGTGCGTTCTGAGGGGGTTAACACTGATGGGAAGACCTGAAAGAGAGGGCAAGCACAGGGTCCCGGAGGTGCCATAGGGGAGAGCACGGGGCTGGGATGAGGCAGGGGCTGGAGCAAGGGGCCTACTCGACCATGGCAGAAGGATACAGTGGAAAAGTTCAGCTGTAATCAAGGAGTTTCAGCCGAGAACGGTTATCGCGCACCGCACCTGCAATCCCAGCTGCTAGGGAGGCTGAGGTGGGAGGATCACTTGAGCCCAGGAGTTCGAGACCAGTCTGGGCAACATAGCAAGACCTCATCCCTACAAAAATATTTTAAAATTAGCTGGGCACAGTGGCACATGCCTGTAGTCCCAGCTACTTGGAAGGCTGAGGGGAAGGATCTTTTGAGCCCAGGAATTCGAGGCTGCAGTGAACCATGATCTCACCACTGCACTCCAACCTGGGCAACAGAGCGAGACCCTGTCTCAAAAAACACCAAAACCAGCAAATTGCGAATGCTGAAAGCATGCTAGTGCTTGGAAGCCGTGCGGCCTGTGGACTTGGTGACACTGGGTGTGTTTCTCTTGACATGTGCTGCGTCAATCCCTGGCATAGTCCGCAAGCCCGCCGGTCCGGGCAGGCGCCGTGAGCTTTCTGGTTTTCTCTTCTAGGCTGACAATAGCCCCGATTCCAAAATCTGCTTCTACGATGTTGAAATGGACACAGTGACCATCTTTGACTTCAAGACTGGACAAATTGATCGGAGAGAGACACTGTCCTTTAACGAGCAAGAGACTGATAAGTAAGATTGTGGTTTAGGAGGATTTTGTTGGAAAAAATGATGTTCAGTTACTTCTCAGCTTCTGGGCGGGTTGTCGTTAAGGGACGCGCCAGACTTCACAAGGCCCCAGCAGGCACCAGTGCGAAAAAGAAAGAGGAAAACAGAAGCACACTCGGGCAGTGGGTAGATTTGAGTCCTTAGTCTCTGTCCTCCAGGTGGAAGGTTCTGGAGTTAGCTGAGTGGAAACTGCAACTTCTGGAAGGGCTCTGGCCGGGCGTCTGTAGAAGTGGCCCATGAGTCACTGCAGGGAGAGAATGGGGTGGCCTCAGACCCATCTACGTCTCTGATGTTGGGGGGCATCCGCACCTCTGATGTTGGGGGCACTTGCCTGTTTAAAGAAGGTACTTCTAGGGAGAATAGTTGTCTGTGTTCACTATATCTGGAGTTCCTTCTGTGACTGAGTGCGCGTTTGGAGAACTTTGAGTGCTGATGATAGTTCACTTACAGTTAGTTCATGGTTGATTCTGCACAAAGTGAGGCGCGAAAGAAAAGTGGGCTGCGGAGCTGAGCCCGCCGACCTGTGTGAGCCAGGCCCGCAGGGCAGGAAAGCAGGACGGGCACCCTGGGGCCTGCGTACGCTCACAGAGGAGCAGAGCAGTTACACAGCTGAGCTCGGAGCTGGTTTTCTCTCTTTTTTTCCCCCTCCTCCATTACTTGACCACCCTCAGACACACCCCTTCTGTCCAGCCCCCCTGGATTCCCCCTGCCTCTCTCTCCCACACACCTTCCGCCTCAGATACAGTTCTGGAACCTTCTTTCACCTGGTGGCCTCATTTCATCCCTCTGCTGGTGACCGCCTGTGGAACTCTGCATCTTCACAGCTCACCGAGTGCAGGCCCCATTCTCCCGCCTCAGACGATGACGCCTGACTCGGCCAAGTGCCAGCTCTCCCCCTGCTGCCACTGTTCTCGGGCTGCTCCTTGAACCTTTCCTCTAGTCCCCACTGCCCGTCACCCAGGTCCGCAGCTTTTCTCATACCAAAATGTCTTTTCATTCATGCTTTTCCCTCTCGACTCTGCGCCTGCCATGCGTGGCTTCCCGTGGGAGCTGTGGGAGCTTCTGAGGGCATTCAAATCTTGCCCCCTTCCTTCTGTCTGTTCCTGTCCTGTGCCAGCCTGGTCTCGCCTCACGGGAACCAGCTTATGTCCCCGGGCTCTGCGGGCCTCAGAGCTGCCTCATCTGGATCATGGCATTCACTCCTCTGCCCTGCTTTCTGCTCTGCTCTGCACTGGTGCCAGATGTGGCTGTGAGGGTACCTCCATTGTTGGGTGCAGCAGCTTCCTGCGGGATCTGCATGTTCTGCAGCACCGGGTCCTGTCCTTCTGTAGCCACCGTGGGTCGTGCTGCCTGGCAGGGTCCCACTCCGCAGCCTGGGCTCGTCACGCCCTGTAGGGGCGGTGAATGAGGCTTATAGGCCTCCTCTCCTTGGGCACCTGCTCTCTCGAGACCTTGTGTGTCCTCTGCCGGCACGTCATTGTGTTTCCCCACAGCATTTTGTTGAGTTCTGGACGCATCCAACATGGAACTTTAGAGATGGGAGGGACCTGGGTACAAGGGGCAGCACAGCACAGGGACCGGTGGGGACCGGGAACCCGGCATGACTATGGAGCCAAAGCCTCGACCCCGCCCACCAGGGATGCCATCCCACCTCGAGGTTGGCCTGCTGGTCCTGGAAAAGGAAAAGGGTCCCTTTTGCTTTGGGGATTCTTCTGGGCCCCCCATAAGGCCTCCAGAATCAAAGCATCATCTTTCTGTGGTCCTTTCAAACCGGGCTTTGCTTGGACCCTTAGCCCAGCTGTTAAAATCTAAGAACACGTTCCAGTAGGGCGCATGGCAGTGAGGCCCCAAAGGTCCTCCCAGAGCTGAGCGTGTGGACTCCGTGGTCTGGGACAGCACCTGGAGGCCTTGGGAATGTGTGTGGGAGGGAGACTGGTAGCAGGAGTGCCCTCCTCGGGGTTCAGACGGGTCTTCCTTTGTCTTTTAGGAGCCACCTCTTTGCAGATGAGGGACTGAAAAATTACGTCCCCGTGAACCACTTCTGGGACCAGAGCGAGCCCCGGCTGTTCGTGTGTGAAGCCGTGCAGGAGACGCTGGGCTCCCAGCCTCAGTCTGCAGATGGACAGCCCCGTGATGGGCGCGCTGGCCCTACGGTACGCCCTGCCTGTTGTATTGGAGTTGAGACACGCTCAGTGGCCGTTTGCCAGACTGAAAACCTTCATGGGTCGGGCATGGTGGCTCACGCCTGTGATCCCAGCGCTGTGGGAGGCCAAGGCAGGAGGGATCGCTTGAGCCCAGAAGTTCGAGACCAGCCTGGGCAACATATTGAGACCCTCGTCTCTAAAAAAGAATACTAAGAATTAATTTAAAACGTCTTCCTAGCATGGGGTCTGGGAAAGGGGTCCTGAAAATTCGTTCATGTGGAGTAGAGCATTTGCCTCATGGCTCCCACTGACGGCAGCATCACTGTAACCCCAACACCACCCTCTGTGGAGTTGCCATTGCTGGGTCTGTTTTGAGCTATGCAGAGAAGCCACGGTGTGTGGTGTCTCCTCTTTGAGGTTTATGCCTGTGGGCCAGCTCCACACTTACTGTCTGACTCTGACCTGAATGGCATTTTTTTGGTTCTCTTGTTGTCTTGACTGCTACATGTGATTCTCTAGGAAAGAAATCTTTGTTTGTTTGTTTGTTTTGTTTGTTTTTTGAGTCTCTCTCTGTTGCCCAGATTGGAGTGCAGTGATGGGATCTCAGCTCACTGCAACCTCCGCCTCCCAGGCAGAGTGAGCCGGTATCGCACCACTGCACTCCACCTGGGTGACAGAGCGAGACTCCGTCTCAAAAGGAGAAAAAAAAAAAGAGTTATCTGCAGTCAGTGTTGCTACCCTGAGTTCAGAAGCAAATCCATTCTTGGTTCTGAGGCACTGAGTGGGAGGACATGTCCAGGTGGCATCTCTACCACCAGAGTGGGGAGAGGAAGACATTGCCAGAGGCGCCACTTCAAGACAGAGGCTGTGGGGTGACCTGGGCAGTCAGGAGAATGGGTGGGCTGGCACCTGGGGAAGATGAAGGTGTGGCAGGGCGGTCTCCTGGCAGTTTGATCCTAGGACTCTTTGTCTGCTCTGTGATGATGCGCCCTTGGCTAAACTCACACCAGGTAGCAAGGAAGGGCTTTGCCTTCCCTTCACCTCTTCTGGTTTCCTGTCCAAAGCAGCTGCAGGAACGGGCACATGTCCTGATGTTGCTTGTTCTGCTTCTGTGCAGCAGCCCACAGAGCATGTGGTTTCTGTGTTGCATGTTCCCTGTTCCTCAAAAGCAGGCTCTTTGTTGGTGGTGCCACTGTTGATTTTTTATTTATTTATTTATTTTGAGATGGAGTCTCACTCTGTCACCCAGGCTGGAGTGCAGTGGCGCAATCTCGACTCACACAACCTCTGCCTCCCAAGTTCAAGCTATCCTCCTGCCTCAGCCTCCCGAGTAGCTGGGACTACAAGCGCCTGCCACCATGCCCAGCTGATTTTTGTGTTTTCAGTAGAGACAGGATTTCACCATGTTGACTGGGATGGTCTCAAACTCCTGACCTCAAGTGATCCACCCACCTCAGCCTCCCAAAGTGCTGGGATTACAGGTGTGAGCCACCGCACCTGGCCTATCACTGTTGGTGTTTAAATCAGAGTAAAGCAGCCAAAGGGGGAGAACTTTTAAACCATGAAAGCTCTTTTGAGTTGCAGTCACCAATTCAGGGTGGGAATGATGAGCCTTTGCTGCAAGAAAAACAGTCACTCGGGAGAGTCCAGTGGTCGCAAACTGGACGAGGTGCGTCCTTCTAGTAGACATGTTGGTTTTTCCCAGGTGGAACAGATAAAAGATAGTATCATCCGAGCAGAGAACCCGACTCCACCGTGACGCAGTATATGTAGCAAAATGGCACTTGTACCCCAGAAATTTATGTAAGTTAAAAAAAAAACAACAGAACAGTACTTTTCTTTCTCTACTAGGCAGATGTTTTGATCCTGTCCTTCTTCATTTCCGAAGAGCATGGCTTCCTGCTTCATGAGAGCTTCCCCCGGCCTGCCGCCTCCCACAGTCTCCTGGGGATGGAAGTGCCTTATTACTACTTCACAAGGAAGGTACGAAGCCACAACATCTGCGCAGGTATCTTCTGATCTCTCCCCTTGCCTGGCTGGGCTCTTGCAAGCGTCCCAGGGAGCTGAAATGTGACTTAGCCCTCGCGGCTCTTCCAGGCTTCCCTTTCCGTAGACAAGGTCAGCCATCCAGTCTAACTTGTCACCTGCAATTCCGGCAAACACTGTGGTCTGTTGGGAAAATTGGAAGTGGTTTTGCTCTCAGGATAGAGAGAAGTCATGCTGATGAGTGGTGTCTCCAGGTAAAGGAGCTCTCGCTCAGGACTCAGGACTCAGGACTCTGCACCCTTCCCCCTTGACTTTTCCCTGAATGCTCAACACCTTTTAGCTTTTCTGTCTTTCTAAAATTCTAGCTGCTTTCTTAAAATCACGCATTTCTACATTGACTGTAGGGATCTTCGGAACTACAAAGAACGAAGTAAAGACTCAAACAGTACAAATCTCCGTAATCCCAGCCTGGAGGTGGCCACTGTGGGCAGGCTGGTGGCTCCTTTCAGTAGGGTTCTGGCTTCTGGACGCCCATCCGTGTGTGACTCATGCATGGACATGTTTTTAAATTATTGCGAGAATGGGATCGTCATCAGTATGCACACCCCAATAGGTTCTTTTGAACAAGTTACTTACTTCTCTGCGACTTGGTCCCCATGTCTCCAAGGTCCCTTTTGGACCCGAAACGTTCTCTGCTTCTGAAAGGGCACGCTGATCAAAGGATTTGCAGCTTCTCTGCAGAAGAGCAGCCTGCGTGTGCCCCAGGAGCATTCTGGGGCCCAGTGACTGGAGCGCCTGAGCCTGACTCTCAGGGAGCTGCTCCCCTCGCTTCACTGACCTGTTGTTCTCAGCCTCTGGGAGCATCCCGAGTCACGTGTGGGGATTTTTCAGAGTGGAGCCTGGCTGACCTAAGGCTCAGACTCATGTCCCAGCTGACGCCAGCCTATGAGCCCCCTGAGGGGTTCTGCAGGTGGGAGGCTGGGGGCCACCAGCTCCCACCTTCCAGGACCTAGCATGCCACCAGCTTCTGCTGCTGCTTTTATTTCCATGAAACGTGGAAGCTTCTCTCCTGTTAGATACACTCCTTCAGCAAACATGTACATTTTCTTCCCTACCACTTCCTGTTTACTGTCACATCAGAGGAAGGACTAAACTGTGTAGACTCTGACCTGGATTGCTTTTGGATTTTCACATACAGTGGCTTATCAACGTTAAGAATGAACTCTGTACTTTTCTAATTTTCTTCAGTAAGCCTGTGTTACTTTTATAACCCAAGGTGGGTCGAGGGAGCATTTAAACTGGGACAGAGGGAGCATAGACCCCAGAGGGACATTCCGGGAAGGGGAAGGACAGGCAGCCCTGCATGGCCACGGAAGCCAACACAGATGCTACTGCACCAGCAGCCACCACGGTGGACCACAGGCGCACCAGCTCCACGCACACCCCCGAGCTGGTGTTCACCTTCATAGGACCTGGCATAAAGGACATGGTGGTGGTGGGGTGGGGCACTTCCTAACTTGTAACAATGACATGAGCAGGTGTGTGCTGGCCTCTGGTCCTCGGGCTCTGCTGGAACCTTGTGTGCAGTGATGGATTAACAGCATTCACACAAATGCGAACCTGGTTGCAGTTGGCGGCTGTGTTCCCGGTCACCACGTAGAGCCAGGCTGCACAGCCAGCAGAGACTGGCATGGTGCTGGTTTGTGCGTCACACTGCTCCCTGCGGTGGAGGCAGTCTAGCTTCATGAAGACTGGGAAAGCATCGTGTGATCTGCCAAATCGAGGGCTCCCTGCTCTGTCAATGCGTGTTTCCTTAATTCCTGTATTTTAATAGACAAGTGTCACCAGCTTGGCATTCCTCCGAATTCCATGCTGGCTTTACGTTTCTTATGTGCTTTAATTTCTCTTTGATTTCAGAACTCAAAGCGTTAACAATGTTTTACATTATTTCTGTTGAGTTTTTCCCCGTTAATTTTGCATGGTGGCATTTCTGTCTTGTGCGCACTCACGCATCTGTTCTTTTCTCTCTCGTTTCTCACTTTCCCGCATGCGTCCGCTCCTCGTAGTTGTTGTTCCAGAGAGCAGGCGTGTATGACGCAGTCGTAAGTACAGACGCCCAGGTCATGTGTCGCTTGCTTCCCCAGGTTGTTTTCCTGAGGTCCTTTTCTTCCCTTGTTTTCCGTACAATTGTCTGTGCACTGATGCCTTCTGCTTAGCTTGTGTGTTCACTTTACCGAGGTCTGTCGTAAGCCTGAGACACTCAGCGTCAGCTGTCTTTATTTGAGCCGGACACCCCTCACCTAGCAAAGCTCATCAGGAGCCCGCCAGCTGTGGTCATGGCCGGGACGTGGGACACAGCTCTTTCCTCTGCTGTGTGGGACACAGGAAGAACTTAGTTTACCAATATTTGTAATAGAGGGAGTTTCCGTAACTCAGCCTTTCGAGTCTCACTTTCCAGTGAGGACTAGCCATGAGGTCTGTTGTCTGTTAACACTGCTGTTGTTCACATTTTCAAATGGCTCAGCCTAGTTTCTCCAAGGTATGAGGGTGGATCTGGGTCCAGCAGCCCTTAGGACCCTGCCCCTGCACGGTGTGACTGGTCAGCTGTGACTTGGGATTGACAGTCCCTCCCTCACAGAGCTGTGAGCAGGACATAGTGAATGATGAGAGTTCACATTCACACAGTGAACCAGGTACCCATTCGGTCCACACCAAGCTGCCGTTGTTATCAGAGGTGAGGGCGCTTCCTTGCAGTTTGTTAAACCACAGCAGGCAGGAATTCCCTGTTGTTTTTGTGCGTGTACGTTTTCTGACAGTTTCCACTCAATGCAGAAGCAGTCCAAACCCTTCGGCACTCAGCACCCTGCAGATGGGCCCCAGTCACATCCATCCTCAGGCCCTCCACTCCAGCGCCTCTCTGTGGGGCCTCAGGGCCTTTGCTTATGCTCTGCACTGTGCCAAGAAGGGGCTCCCCATCACAACTGGGTCTGACAAATCCCCCAGATTTCTTTGAGACCCAGGCCAAGTGCCACCTCGCGTGTGAGTCCTACTCACCGGGACTGCAGGTCAGCTTCTGTGGGAGCAGTGAGCTGATGGGAGCAGAGCTGGGGAGGCAGGTGGCTGGAGTCACCCTTCAGGAAGTCACACAATAG